AGTGAGAAAGAAAAAACTAAATCAAAATAACAAATTTCTTTGGAACCCCTAAAAGTTTATTAGTTTGTACATAGGTCTAAAAAATGAAAAGGAATGAAAATGTTCATGTAGACCTATGTTGCTTTGTTAATTACAACCAGATCCAAAAGATTTAAACTCAGTTAGGAATTAAGCTCGAATAATTATAATTGCAAACCCCTGAATTGCGCTATATATTAATAATAAGTTCAAAATTATTAGAATAATATCATAGAAAATTATGGTAAATTGCTAAAATTAGCAAGAAAGCCTGTGTGTACCTTATTTATAGATAATTATTATTTGATTATACTTGAATATGACTGATTTTAAATTTTGCAGTGATTATCCTATAATATGTACTTGCCCTGAATTAATATTAGTCTTATATATTTATATTACAGGATTAGGTTGATATCTGGAAAAGTAGTATTTTGAGGAAGCTGTACTCATTGGAGGTGAGTTCATTTCTCACTAGTATTTTTATAATATAAAGTTTCATGAGTATTATAATTAACGGCTTTTTTCTTGAAAAATAATTATTTTGTTATTCTCATGCATCGAAAATAATGTGGTTGATCGATTTTGTCACGGTCTAACTTATAATATGATTTTGATTTCTTATGTGATATTGAAAGTAAATTTGATTTCATATAAAATGTGATAAGTGATTTTGATAATCATGTGATCTTAAATAACTGTGTATATCGTTTACCTATGAGCTATTGAAGGAAATAGTGACGTAAATGTGTTTTAGTGGTTTAACAAATTTAAGAGATTTTTCATGATTTCGTGTTTGAAATCAATTGAAGTTAAGCCAATTGATAAGTGATGTGTTTTGAAAGCAAGTAATTTGACAAAAAAATGTGTTTTCAAAATCAAGCCAATTGATAAGCGATTCTTGATATTTTCAAAACCCTCAGAAAGTCCACTATGGAGTGATGTTTTGTGCCTGCCATATGGTTTGAATACACATTTATGTGGTTTTTTTGGGCATGTGTGATGTGGCTCTTTGGGCATTTGTGATGTGGTCTTTTTTGGGCGTTTGTGATGTGGCCGACGGCCTATGGTAATGATAGGTACATTCTGTTCCCGAAAACTATGTGTTATGTGATGCATTTTTGGCATTTTCATGCTACTGTGCTATAATTTGTAGCCTTAGTGTGACGACTTATGAGGTGATTCTTACATTTCATAAACTTATCGAGTTTTGAAATTCTGACTTTTGACTTTGAATCAGAGAAAATAAAATCTTTTGATTTCGCACCAATTTAATAATTCGTTTTCATTCTTAGCATTTACATTGTCTTTCAAAAGAGTTTTGATTCTGGAATACATTACAAATTATTTAGTGGCACATAAGAAATAAATCTAATAAGAATAAAAAAAATTGTACGTTATCTTGAACATAACAGCAGTATGTTATTCTTGGATCGTATATTGCTATTTTGGAATTGGTGGTGCAAAACCTGTAATTCATTATTATTTTAGAACTTATAATTATTTTATTTCGTACTTGAAAACTCTAGTGGGAAATGTTCTCACTGAGTTGAGCTCACCCCACCATTTTTTAAAATTTTCAGATCTGAGATAGCTAAGAATAGCTAAGAAAAAGCCGAAATTTTGATTTTGGCGCATAGCTAAGAGGCGTAGCATGGACAGCCCTCTTCGGTGGGATTATGTATAATCAACAACATGTTTTGCGCTGTAATATATTGATAACAGTG